ATTCTGGAAAGATCTACTCCGGTATATATAGGGATGAGGAACTCATGCAAGGGGTGGAAGAACGAAGCTACGTGGTGTACTCCAAGGAAACTGCTGTCTCGAGAGGTCGGACTGCTGCTTACCGCCGACACCGGTGTACTTCTTGTAAGATTCTAGAAGGTTCTACGGACTTCTGTCTCCTGTTCTGCTTCTGCTTTCCCTCACCGTGCTGCAGTTGGTGAGTTTGTAACTGCTGTTTTCTTTATTGTTGTTTCATTTTTTGCACTCTTCTGTAATTATTTTATCGATTTGGCTTAAATAAAGTCCTAAAGATCCTTTGTACCCTCGGAAGTTATTATTTTTCAACCAACAACGCAACATTTGTATTATATATATTATATTTTTACACAATCAATAAGGATTCAAGGGTTTGATTTCTTCTCACATTTCTTTTATTTCTTTAACTTTCGGGTAAGATGTCCTCCAACACGGAGATCAAAAGGTACTACTTCTAGTCAATTTTGACACTAAATATAATTGGTTAGAAGTAATAATACTCGATCTCCGTGTTGAAGTGCATGTTATCCTTAGATCTCGAGAAATAAAAGAAATGTGAGAATAAATCAAATACACCTATCCCCCGATTTACACGGTAGATACGTTCCTGAGAAAAACGTGTAAATCGGGGGATAGGTGTACACAGAAATAAAAATAAAATGCATTGACAGGTTAAAATATGTAGTCCGCACATAAGCTCGGGATTCCTCGTGAGATGTGTACACAGCGCATGTGTTCAATCACAGTAGCATTTAGTATAGTGCGATAAAAAAAATAAAAAAAACTTATTTGGAAAACCGTGTAAAAGCGAAAACGTGTAAAACAAGTACCGTGTAAATCGGGGGATAGGTGTACTTGATTCCTTATTTATTGTGTCAAAATGTAAAATCATGGAATAATCTTTATTAATATCTTAGATTGATGATAAGGTACAATTTGGATTCTAGATAATAAACACAAGATAATAAGACCAAATACAAATACATAAATAGTGTGTTACGTTTTGGTAACAGCCATGTTGTAATCTTTCTCATTCAGTACTTTTGTATGAAGATGGTAACAACGCTGTTACCGAAACGTCACACACTATTTATCTATTTGGATTTGTGCTTATTACCTTGTGTTTATATTAGATTGATGTTGATGAACCACTTCCTCTTTTTCTACGTTATATCTCAATGGATGGATGTAAGCGGGCAGGTGTCTATGTAGTCAATAAATATGGTTAAAAATGAATTATTTTTCCAGTTAACAATCGATTTTCTAGGTAAGGGAAGAGCAGCTCAGACAGGAAGCTATAGAATAGACAGACAGGGGAACTAAGAACCAATTTCAAGCTCCCGTCAAACATCCCTTGAGACTGTTCGACCTCAAGGTTCGTGCCTGCCAGGATTGATCCCGTTGCCAAGCAACCAACAGGTGGCAGCGGAGATCTTCTGCAGTATTCTAATGAAATCTCTGATGTTGCATCAATGGCTCCCGGCCTTTCTTCACACGCACAAACAAATTAAATAATTTCACAAACACTACTCTATCTTAGAATGTCTGAGGATATGCTTTTAAGGAGGGAAATCTTCATTCAATTTATATCCAAGTTGATGTATGTGTTTGTTTTATATCTTTTTATCTCAATACACAATATAATATAAACAGGTTTTCAAAACTATATTCTATTTATATTTATATACGGGGGAGGGGGATATATTAGATATATTGAAAATAATTATAAAGAATATATATTAAAAATATATTAAAGTTATATTAAATGTTTTAAAATAATGAATACAAGTCTTTGGTTATTTAATATAGTTGTCATTGATTAGCTACGATAGACTCGAGGCGAATGTAAAAGGAATCACAAGTCTTATCGACGATGAATATTTTGGCCATTAATGTGTGAAGCGCATAGACTGGATGATATTGTGAGGAGTTTCCTGAACAATGCCCCATACATAGTAGCCGATGGGTCTGAGAATAGTTAGTAGGACTCTAGTAGCTGTGGGACATTGAGCATCAGCTATGACTGTCTAATTTGTGAACTGGCTTTGAAATCTGGTGGAAGATATCATTCCTTACTGCGGCTACCATGTCCATCCAAGGCTCCAGGATAGGCCACTGATGTAGATGTTGGAGTTTATTCTTTGGACCTGTATGTAGAGGATAGGCATGACATCGGGCTCACTATAATGGTGATAGGAACTATCACGGAAGCAGAATATATCGTGATGTATCACTATAGGTACCTATGAATAGCTCTATAGGGGTCTAACTATCATTTCTGGTGTTCACCTATTGGCTCTAGTCGAAGTTATTTTCTTCAGATAATTTCAACATGGCACAAATGCATATTTCAGGTTATTGAAGAGGACAGCAGCCTTTCCTTTTATATTTCATAACCTCATCCAACAAATAACCTTACCGAAGAGAATGGGACTTGAGATCAAATTCTCATGAATAGCTCTGATACTTGCCATATGGTAAATGCATATCTGTTTGTTACTCGAGGTCTTTCCAGTGTTTCTTTCGATCTTATCCTTGAAAATGACGGCATATTCTGGATCACCTATCTTCACCGAACGACGTCAGTGCTTCTGCTCGAGAGAATAATCAATCTTCTTCTTGAAAAAATAAACGTTTTTTTGGTAGTTTAGAAGGTTCACAATCTCCTTAACTCTGCCTTTGGCGGTCCCAAGCCCGGATAAAAAAGGAGAAGAGGGAGCAGTAACAAGCTCAGTTAAAAACCTGGGCTCAACTGGCCCGGCTGATGGTACCCTGTAAGGGCTCCTAATCCAGGGATACAGAATGAGCAGCGTTTTTACTCCATGTTAGGAGCGGCTGCACATGGCGTCTGTTCCTCATGTCAGAGGCGGCCATTTCTTTTGGAGCTAAGTCGGCCTGCCACTGAGTAGTGCTCACAGTCTTGATGACAAAAGCAGACGCATTCTACTTCACCCAGTATGGAGATAAGAAAGAAGAAGACTATCTCCTTGGGTCTCCTGCCGGCGTACAGAGTAACGATGAAGACTGCAGGATTATTTTTTTCCTATTCTTGTGATCATTAATCCACTGCAGACATTTGTACTGTTACACTCCACATTAAGTTGAGCCAAACATATTTTTTTTATTAAATCAGATACAGAGTGTATCCCTGTTGTCTATTAAAATTGTTCGAACGGTCGATGAAAGGTGTCACCAAAGACAACAGGCTCTCAGCACGGTTAACCTTGACATCTGAAACAGAGGCAGAATCCCATTTGGTGCATTGAACGACAAAAGTGAAACAGGATAGACGTCGTCTTCACTGATTAATTTTTGTTCTATATCAAGCGCACCTTGTTTTCAGTATATTTCATTTAGATGAACATAATTTAATTATTGGGATATTGATTACCTACAACCTATCATGAAATATTTTTACATTATTAGTAATACTTTTTGCCATTTACTACCTTTTTCCTAATTTAGGTGGTTTAGTATGTTTTTATTTGAATGATATATACAATCGTATTATTTTTAATTATATAAATTGGTTATTCAAATTAAAGATACTTCTGCCAAAAAATCTTTCTATTATCTCGACGTTTCGACAAAAATCTTTTGTCCTCGTCAGGAAGGACAAATATTAAAACATTTAGCAAGGCGTTAAATATTATTATATATTATTATATTATTATTATTATTATTATATATTATTATATATATATTATATAGAATAATTTTCAACGCTTTGCCAAATGTTTTAATTTTTGTTCGCTCCTGACGAGAACAAAAGATTTTTGTCAAAACGTCGAGATAACAAAAAGATTTACAGCACGAAGTATCTTTATTTTGAAGAACTATGAATGAGGCCAGGCAGCCTCTATCTTTAGGAATATATAAATTGGGTTTCATCGTTCTTAATATAGACATATTATTCTCAGTGCTCTAGAAGATGTTCTTTACAGATTATTCCCGTAGTTGCTGATGCAGAATATACAGGACCAGATTGAAGCGGTTGAAAGGTTATTTACTATTAGATACCCCCTTAGTGAGACCGTTGTAAAGTAATGTATAGGATATAATTTCCTTTCGCCATAATTAGTATGTTAAAATGTAAATACAAATCCATCCATCTATAACACTGTACAAAATAAACGTGGGAGCCAGCGCGCCCGGGCGAATGCTACGGCACGTCGCCGCGTGCGCGCGCTCACGAGGGTGGAACGAATTATTTTCGAAGCTCACATGCACAACGGCTGCGCACTTCCATTCGACCACGACAGAAACGACATATATATATAGAATTATTTAAATTATTCAATAAATCTTAGAATAGAATTTAATATGCCTCCTGTATGAAATAGCAAGATAATAAAGAAAAAGGCATTCTATATATTTTCTCTATTTCCTTCAATTTTGTCAATACTAACCAGTTATTCGAAAATATCGGAAATTTATTTTGATCAACTTTATTTTAACCTTCGATATTTAGAATTATTTTAACCTTCGATATTTAAAGTTAGAAATAGTCGTTATTTCTCTTTAAAATAGATTTCGATTTTTGTTTAAAAGAAACATTCGCGGTATAATTTCAATTTTCGTTTTACAATCATCAGCCGCGTTATATTGTATTTTAAATGTATTATAAGTTACTTTAAATATTAATTACGAACGGAAAAATACGTCCAGGGTAGCCTAGTGGACATGGCACCTGCCCGGTAAGCAGAAGGTTGTGGGTTCGATTCCCGCCCCTGGACACTTTTATTTTTCCGTTTGTCATTACTCTTCACAATTCATCCTATCATACTTCATCCTTAAAGTTAGAAATAATCGTTATTTCTCTTTAAAATAGATTTCGATTTTTGTTTAAAAGAAACATTCGCGGTATAATTGCAATTTTCGTTTTACAATCATCAGCCGCGTTATATTGTATTTTAAATGTATTATAAGTTACTTTAAATATTATTTACGAACGGAAAAATACGTCCAGGGTAGTCTAGTGGACATGGCACCTGCCCGGTAAGCAGAAGGTTGTGGGTTCGATTCCCGCCCCTGGACACTTTTATTTTTCCGTTTGTCATTACTCTTCACAATTCATCCTATCATACTTCATCCTTAAAGTTAGAAATAATCGTTATTTCTCTTTAAAATAGATTTCGATTTTTGTTTAAAAGAAACATTCGCGGTATAATCGCGGTATGCTTTACAATCATCAGCCGCGTTATATTGTATTTTAAATTATATTGTATTATAAACATAAATATAATATAGAATTCCCTAAATTACACTTTTCAACCATGAGTCATAAAATCGGACACGATAAGTTAGAAGAAATCGAGATTGATTGCTCACATCTATTTTTCTCTGAGTGAATTCGAACCATTAGAATATGTGTTCACGGGTATATTGCATGCTTCCTTATATAGGTCGAATCAAATATTCACTAATTTAGAACATGTAGCAATTTCCTAGTCCATATATAGAATTTTTCGCCTAGAAAACAAGGTATTGGTATTTTTTTACACCAAATTCTTAATGGTCCGTAAATGGTCCAAAAATACATTTATATCATAATGGTTTGAAACTTATAATAATAAATATTTCAAAATATTTATATTTTGATATTATTGTATAAATATTATATGTAAATATGAGAAGGAACTCAACCAGTTGTGAAATACATCTATTCGAAGTGAAAAAGCCAAAACACAGTTACCCGGTGTTTATATAGGAAAAGAGATGGAGACACAAGATTGGATATCTATATACATGTATATAATAGCCTTATTCTGTCTGAAGCTCACGGATAGAATGCGCGCCCATTGGCTGCCGGCGAACACGTGTCCTCCCTGCCCCCCTCTAGACAACCCTGTTATCAGCTGTGTGATACATACACCTGTCTATAGCGGCCATTCTAGACAACCCTGTTATCAGCAGTGTGTTACATCCACCTGTCTATACAGACCACCCTGTCTATAGCGACCACTGACCACCCTGCCTATAGCGACCACTCTAGACAACCCTGTTATCAGCTGTGTGATACATCCACCTGTCTTTACAGACCACCCTGTATATAGCGGCCATTCTAGATAACCCTGTTATCAGCTGTGTGATACATACACCTGTCTATAGCGGCCACTCTAGACAACCCTGTTATCAGCTGTGTGATACATCCACCTGTCTATACAGTCCACCCTGTCTATAGCGGTCACTTTAGGCAACCCTGTTATCATCAGTGTGTTACATTCACCTGTCTATACAGACCACCCTGTCTATAGCGGTCACCTTAGGCAACCCTGTTATCAGCAGTGTGATACATACACCTGTCTATACAGACCACCCTGTCTATAGCGGCCACTCTAGACAACCCTGTTATCAGCTGTGTGATACATACACCTGTCTATACAGACCACCCTGTCTATAGCGACCACCCAAGACAACGTTTTTAAAATATATTCGCACTCGGGTAAAACCCGAGCGTTGCCCGGGCCATTCGTCTGGTAGTATATAAGAGATATGAAAAAGCAATTGCCAATTGTCGAATGAAAACAAACTATTCTATCTATGCGAAAAAAAATAGTACGAATGCGAAATTGTACTGGGATAAGGTGAATAAATTAAGAGAAAAGGCATTGATAAGTTTCACAATAAAAAGATGCCTTTTCTTATTAATAAATTATGTTATACCAATTTATGTTATACGTATTTATGTTTAACCAATTCAACTTGATAATTGATAATTATAAAATAATTTCAAATATAGGCTTACTCAAGTGATGTTTTAAAATTATTAATATTCAAAGCTATTTTCAAGAATTATTATAATTCTGTTTGCCTCTAGAGGCTTAAATAAGAGGAATTATGTTTCTTCATAATCAATTTATGTAATAGGATTTTTACGCTTTCTATACAGAGATAAATAGCGTCAAAAGTACAAAACCTTTTAGATATTGCAGATAGGAACAAAATCATTATATCTGGATATAGGCGTATCAGAGCTTCAACAATTGCAGGAACATTGCTTTGTAGCGCACAATTTCAAATTATTTCTTATTAAAGCCGTAATCCCTTTGCCCTTTTATTCTATATAATAAAACTAATTTGTTTTCTCCAATTACATGAGACATCCCTTGACAACATAAGCGGATTATGTAAAATTACACCAAAGAATCTTTTTACTGAAGTTCTCTCATTTTGTTTATTATGTGATTTTCTTAATAGGTTTGATCTGAAGAAATATTTTCGTTTCTCGGTCTGCAGGATCTTTGACTTTGGGAAAGAGAGATAGAGAGCACAATGCTGACTGTATATCTCTCTCTATATAAAAATGAATGTTTGTATGTCTGTCTGTATGTCCGGTATACAAATTCGCAGTAGTTCACTAATTCAAACCAAAATTTCCATACATAGGTAAAGAAATACGGGGAAGACGATAGGCTATTTTAAAAAATATATAAATCAATTATTAAAATTATATATTTTTATTCAGAAAATGATGATGACGATATTGCTGTATAATGTTTGATTATCAGCTACAAAATTATATCGGGAAAAAATCCAAAAAGCAGAGACCACGGGTGAAACCAGTTCATTATTTTGTACGCAGGAACAAAATTCTAACAGAAAAACATTCATTCGAGCAGAAAACAAAAGCTAGATCATCTTTCTATAAAAATATCGCTTCTCAGACACAAAGTTTGGAGCGGGACGTTTCACATGAGTGACATCCACGGCGCCAATTTATAATTGTAACGAATAGTATTTGAATAAAAACATTTAATCGGGTAAAACCCGGGCGTTGCCCGGGTCATTCGGCTAGTATGTTATAAAAACAAATGTGATTTTCTGCTGATTTTGGAATTGTTGACATTATGCTATGGTGATGCAGTCGTGGTTAATATTCTTGAAATAATAATAATAAAAATGATTTTGATCAATATTTGCTTTAATTGAGTTGAAGGAATATAATAAAAGCATAGTTTGATAAAAGCAAAACAAAGGTTTTGAGCCGGCCAACGGGATAGAGAAAATATCTTTATTTACGGGCTACTAACCAAAAGTTATGATTTTTGAGCCCAAAATCGATGTCAGGTGGCAAGGGACCCTAGGATGTGGAAGCAGGAGATGTCTCGCAGGGGTGGTAGAAACGTTGGGCAAGCAGGGGAATAGCGCCAGGGTGCAGTGAGGCGGGTGCGTTGAATAGGCCAGGAATCCAGGAGAAGTGGCAGATGATAATGGAGGCAGAAGGTCCTTGAAGCCTAGAACTTGAGGGCCCTAGACTTCAGGATGGGGCAGCTTGAGGCTCTCGCCTCGTGCTTGTCAGGAAGGCCCTGGGAGCAGCAGTTGGCACATTTGGAGGTGCGCTGGTCAGCAATGGATGGGCAGGTTCGGCCTTCATGGCCGTCTTCACCGCAGTGGAAGCACTTAGGAGCTCTGGTGAATTGGGCAGAGTTGTGGCCGAAGCCACAACAGCGGAAGCAGACGCGGGCGCGGATGGACTCCTCGAAGTTGAGGATTACTCCATCCACCACGATCCTCCCGCGAACGCCCAGGGCTCTAAAGGTCTTGAGGTCCACCTCGATGAAGGCGGTGCAGGTCCCGTTTCTGGGTGCAGAACGGTGCGCCACGCGCACCACCTTGTCCCCAGGAAGTTTTCTAACAGCAGCGGTTTCCAGGAAGGTCTCCTCAATTGTGGAGTTGGATGTCTCCTCATCCACTTTGAAGAGGCAGATCCGTGGCAGGATCTCCTTCTGCTGGCGGACCTTCATTCCATTCAACTTGCTGGCCAGGGAGGTTGTAACCTCAGGGATGGTGTCAGGATTGCTGGAATGGAGGACCAGCTTCCCCTTGGTGCGCAGGGAGGCCCAAACGCCTTGGGGGAGAGTGTGAGCAGCGCGGACTGTTTTTAGCATCTCCCTTGGGTCAGCCTGTGGGTCATCTGAGATGACCACTGTGTGGGCCGCCGATTTTTCTCCATGAAGGATCACTTGGGCGGCCGCAGGCTTGGAGACGTGGGAAGGCACAGGTTTTGAAGGACCATTCAGGTTTGTCCTCTTTGCAGGCAGGTTGGGAGCTTCAGACTGCTTCCTTTTGGTTGGAGCAGGAGCAGGCAGGGAGGAGGCAGGCTTCTTGGCAGGGAGAGCAGCAGGAGCAGGAGTGGCGGGCTTGATTGGGTCAGTCTGGGAGCTGGTTTCATTGCAGGAAGGAGCAGGGCAGGTTTGAGTGCCGCGGCAAGCAGTCTTGGGCTTGTTGGCCTCCTCAATTTCGTCCAACTCTGCGAAGGACTCGAGGGTGTCAGTGAGGTTCTCTACATTGGTAGCGAGGGCCTTGATCATTTCAGTCCGCGAGGCGATGTAGCGTATCAGGTCCTCATGCAGGGATTTCAGGGCAGGATGGCCAATGGAGCTCAGGATGCTGCAGTTGCGTGAGATCACCATCTCATCTTCCCTCTCCAGGTCGGCGACGTTCACGATGCGGGTTGTAGGCTTGTAGGCCTTCTTTTTCTTCTTGGCAGGATTCAAGGCCAACGGGATAAAACAACAACGAGTTTTTATAGGGGAAGAGTGACCTCTGGCGGTCGATTTAACAGAGTATTTGAATCTATGAAATTATAATTTAAAATAAAATAATATTTTTATAAAACATATATAACTATACATCTAACTAATTGATATTTTAAAAAATATTCTCAAAATGCTTTTTGAACCTATAATATATGTAATTATATTAAAACAACGAAAAAGCATATTCTAACTGCTTACATGAGTATTTTGGATGGCAGAGTGCCACCTAGTGGAATAAATATCCACTAAATGTTGATGTAGGTTGTTCCATGATGTTTGGCCAACCGAATTTACTAAAATCAAGAAAAGCCAACCACGTACAGCTGTATATATATATATATGTATGTACCGAAATACTGCAGTTGGTGATGGAGTTAGTGATAATGAATGAGCCACAATGCCTGTTTGGCAAATTCATACAAAAAGCCAACAATATCGTGGTTTCAGGCTCTGGCCTTTATCAATACAGGGCGGCTTCGATTTGATAACATCCTA